TCCCCCCCTTGGCATCCCCATGCCTGTGGTCTACCCTGACCCTGGGGCCAGCCTGGCGCTGTGGCCTCCCACCGGCTTCTGGCTGCACCCCGGGGAGGTGCTCACACCGGGCCTCCAGGGCCGGACGGTGTCCGGCATGGCCAAGTTCACAACTGCGCAGAAGTCAGGACCCTGCCGGAGTGGGGGGTCCTCACCGCCCCAGTTCCGTCAGCCTTCCTCCTTGAAGCGGCCAGTGCCCTGTGGTCGGCTGAACAGTGGCCCCAGAACGCGTAGGTCCTAATCCCTGGAGGCGCGTGTGGCTGAACGCGCTTTCCAGGCCCCATCGTGGGGAGGGGAGGGGCGGGGGTCGCCGGCTCGGGTGCACAGCCTCACGGGGTGCCAGGTGCTTGGGACCGACGACCGCGCACGAGGACGAGCCCAGCAGAAGGGAGAGCAGCTTCGGCAGAAGCGCCCTGCGGAACCCGCTGAGGATCGAGACCCCGCAAGGAGACTGGTCAGCCTTGCCCACCCATGGAGGGGTCTCTGCCCTCCTGGGAAGCGACCCGCTCGTGAGTCGGCTACCGCCACAGCCCAGCCTTGGCCTTTCTCGAGCCCCCGCCCTGAGTCACGCCAGCACCAACGGCCACCACGGGCACTCACAGGGTATTTCTGCCGCGCACCTTCTGCGGCCCCCGCGGCGCCTAGGAGCTGCAGGGACTCTGGTGTCCAACGTCACGGTTAAAACATACAAGGCCCTCAAAACCCCGAACAGCCAAGCGTCACCTATAGTGCAGTGGTTCTGTTCTTAGCTTTAGAGGGGACGCGGCCTAAATGAGCGGGAAGCACAGTCCCGCCAGATGCGGCGGCCCCTGGGGCACACAGCTTGGCTTTCCTTGGAAAGGAGAGCCCGGAGCTCCGGCCTGCGGGCGCAGAGGTGTGGTCTGCACGTGCAGGAACGCAGACACATACAGGTCCCTCGCTACCGTCCCCGTGTCCGTCCATACGAGCCCTAACACAGCTACGTATGACCGCTTGTCCCGACTCCTGCCACGAGGGGCACGGGGTCGTCATTCTTGAAAAGTCTGAAACACGGCCACACGCCGACTTCCATCCCTCCGGCCCAGGACCCCTTTCCTCGACTTGCCAGTGTCTTCCCGACCGCGGGTGCACACGCACGGCTCACCGCAAGGCAGGCAGCAGCTTGGACGACCCTGGAAGCTGGACTCGCCCCCTGCACGCTCGGGCCTGGGAACGGAGGCGCGGCCGCTGAGCAAACACCGGGGCGTGGCTTGCACACCTGGACACACGCACACACCCGCGGGGCGGATCAGGAGACGGAGGGAAGAGGGCGAGCAGAGAAGCCCTGAAAATCACTGGGCAACGAGCCACGCCTATCACAAGCTGGCCACCTGGCCTGGGTTGGGTCACGGCCCCAGGTTCTGTGAAGTGGTTTAATAGGGACAGCCCTGTGGTGGCCCCGGGCCTGCGGCCAGAGCAGTAGCTTGAAGAGGCCCTAAGCTGTGGTACCATCCGTGACTCCCAAGTCGCTGTCCTTTAGAACACCACATACTTGGACCACCACTTGCACGGTGGGCCAGCCCTGGCTCGTGGCCGGGGCTTAGGGGAAGAGAAACCCAGATGTCCACGTGTAGTCAGTAGCCTGGCAGGCTGGCCTCAGGGCGAGGACTGCGGGGGGCCTGCGCCTGCTGGGCTGCTCTGGCAACAGTGGTCTCCTAGTGTGGACATGAGCGCCTCCACGTTGGCTGGGTCCTCCCCCGAGGGCCACCTCCTGGCTTTGCCTGGTGAGGGTTCTGGAGGGTGGGGTGAGGGCACCGGGATGTGGCCTCTCCCCTCCAGCGCTCTCCAGCACCCACTTCTCAGTCACCGCTGCGCGGCGGGGCGGCCCTCCCTCGGGGCCACGGCACTCATGCCAGCCTCCGGGAGCCCCACTGTGGCGCGTGTGCACCATGTGCGGGGTGTGTACTGAGCCCGCTCTGGGCAAACGCGGGGCCCTCTCTCTTGGGTGGAACGGCACATGCGGGTTCCTTGGGAAAGACTGGTCCTTCCTGGGCCACCTCCCAGCCTCAGATGGGGCCGCACTGGAACAATGGGAGGTTCTAGGTGGGCCAATGTTCCTGGGAATTGAGGAGCATGGGAGAAGGAGGGCGGGGGCCATGGGCCCTCCGCTCAGTCCATCCCGAGCACTGCCCCTCCATGCTGCCCACTTCTGTCCCAGGCCACAAGGCCACCAGCCACAGTCCCCATCCTTGGCCCCCAGCAGAGGTGCATCCTGCTGGCGCCGTGAGCAGGATCCCACCCCTTCTCCCCGGCTGCCCACAGCTCCACGACTAATGGCCCGTGCTGGGTCCCTGTTGAAGCCCAGTGTGGTTCCTGCTCTGGCTGACGGTGGTCTCCGTCCCCCAGTCGCAGGGACAGCACCGCTGCACGTGCACACCTGCGGACGGGTGCCTGAGAAGCCACATGTACGAGCGTTTGACTCCTGGACACATAGTCCTCCTGCCCCTGTGGGTTGTATGACCACACGCTCTCCCTGTGACAGGGACAATGTCCTGCCCGGGGAAGCCCCAAGGGAAATCGCCAGGCCCCGGAGCCACACGGGGGCCCAGCACAAACCAAGGCCAGGCATGGAGCAGGCGACCCAGGACCACACAGACCTGATCCCAAAGGTTTCTCCACAGCGTGCCACACACAGGCCACTTCCCCTGCAGCCACGCAGGCAGTCCGCGACCCCCCTGGGGCACGCCACAGCTCAGAGCCGGCTCCACAGCCCGAGTGGCTTCTCGCAGTTTAAAATCTCCCTACAGAAACCGCCTGTGCCTGTCCTCCTCCTGTGCTCTAGTCGTCCCCGCTGGGCATGGAGGAAGGGGCCCTGGCCAGCGGCTTGGCCAGACCGCGGCCGTGCAGCGGCCCCTCCCAACATCTCCCGGGCCACCAGGCTCTCAAGCTGTCCCGTGTCAACATCACCACCCAAGTCACAGCGCCCCTTCTGCAGGCTCTGGAGCTAATTTCTCAGGCCACAGAGACCGAGCCCCGAACGGTCAGCACACACAGTCCTACGAACGGCTGAGCAACTAACCGAGGTCTTGGGGCCCGGCCCAGCCCGCCTGTGGATGGCCTGGAGGCTCGGAGGCAGAGCTGAGCACTCGCGACCGAGTGCATGGCCGTGAAGCCCCCGGCAGGGAACACTGGTCCTCGAAAAGCCACTAGCCCCCCTGTCGCAGGAGGGGCTCCGGGCCGACACTGCCCACCCCACCCAGCCCGGTGCCCTGCTTACCTGTGGCCTGGCAGAAGAGGTGGAAGGTCCCCGGGGCGCGCACGTGCTGGGCCTGGTCGCTGAGGAAGGGCGGCAGCAAGGTGACGGGCGGGCCGCTGTCAGACCCCGAGGCCGACGCCGGCCGGGGACTTCGGGGAGAGGAAGCTGAGCCAGGGCCCCGACAGGACAGGGAGGAGGACCCCGGAGGAGGGAAGGGCATAGACGAGGCTGTGAGACAGAGGACAGAAAAGAAAGAGGCCGCTGAGGCGGGCGTCGTCAGGATCCCACCGCACACCAGAGAAAGGAAGCAAAGCACCGGAGAAGAAAGGGCCCCGGGCGGTCCTGAGACCTGCCTCTGGTCAGCGCCCCACAGGTGGGAGGGACGGGCAGGGGCCTCCCGGCAGCCGCGGCAAATCACAGGCCCACATCAAGGATAGAAGGTTCTTGTTTATTCGGTTATTTCTCAAATGTGTACAATTCAAAGTAGAAAAATAAAAACAAAGTAAATCTTATAAAACACAATGTTTACACCAAAACGGTTGAATCTCATGCTGAAGAGGACACTGTCCACGCAGGCACAGAAATCCGTGTGCTGCTCCCCACCACGGCAAGTGCGCCGCCGCCTCCAGCGCGCACGCAGTAGCAGGTGCACCGTGACGGCTCCACGGCCAAACCGCCCTTCCCATGCGCGCCATGCCAGACTGCGCCAGCCACGTGGGCCACCCCGCGGCTCCGTGGGGTGTGTGGAGACACAGGCCTGTCCGGCCGCTGCCGCCCAGCTCGCGCACAGGTGGGGCCAACTCTGGTCAGTGGAGCGGGGTGTCCCGTGGGGAGCGGCCGTGCGCAGGAGCCGACAGTTACAGAAGCCGCGCAGATGGCAGATGGCGCCCCGGCGGAGGTCCGTCTGTCCGTCCGCACAGGAGTTTTCGAGCAGCAGCTGTAAGCATCCGATGGCGAGACATGCGCCCCCTCGGCCCTGGGCCAGGCGGCTCCTCTGATGCTGGGGACCCCGCCAGGCTCATCGGACAGCCACCCACTGGCTTCTCTTCTTCGAAAGAATTTAAACAGAAAAAGTACAGAAAGAAAATCTGAGTATGACGCTTCCCTCAAGGAATAAAGTTAAAGAAAAAACAAAAAATACTGGTGTGCTCGAGATGGTTTTGTCCATGTGTCTGGAAGCAGAAGGAATGCATTTAGCCAAAGCAGGTTTATCCCTGAGAATCATAAGCAACGTAAGCTGGAGCCTGTCCTCGCAACGGAAGCCGGAAGATGTACGTCTTCTAAACATTAAAACATCTGCTCTAGTGACTTAAAACACAAACGACCCAACACAAAAAAAGTAAAACCCTACAAAATAATCCCATGGAAGGAAAGGTTCGTGCCAATCTGGACAACAGGCGCTAAGTTACCAATCTGATAAACAAAAATGTCATTTCCAATCTGGAACGAAACAATCTTTCAGTGGCTGCTGCTCTAGGGCGGGGGGTTGGGGGGCACCGGAGGCGCGAGGGGCCGCGGAGAGCTGGGGCCGAGGGGAGCCGCCACCGCAGCCCGCGGGCCCCCTCCCCGCCCGTGGCCCACCACAGGAGGCCGGCGCGATGCTCGCCGCTTTCCAAAAGGACAAAGAAACCCAACTCACAAGCTCGACCCGAGGGAAGAGACACAGAAGCAGGTGCACAGACACGGGCTCCCCACACCGCCCCGGGCCGGGCACGCGACGCCGACCGGGGGCCTCCGCGCAGCCGCCTCAGTCCACGTCCGCATCCGAGTCGGCGTACTTGAGCTCACACTTGACGTCGAAGGGCCTGTCCCGGCCCGGGAGGTCGTCGAGCCGCTGCGAGTCCTCCCTGTCGGTGGGCGCCCTGCTGGCCGTGGTGTCCTGCTCCGTCTCGTAGCCGGTGTCCAGGGCCGGCCGCGGCTGTGCCCCGTTCTGCTGGGAGAAGCTGCCCTGCTCCACCAGTGTCTCCTTCACGCTCTGCTCGAACTCGGAGAAGTCGGCCGCAGGCTGCTTCTTCGCCAGCAGCACGGCGGAGCGGAACTTGAGGCACTGGCCGGGCAGGTAGCCCTTGTAGCAGTTGTAGGAGAGGAGGCCGAGGCAGAGCACGAAGCAGAGCAGGAAGAGGACCATGAGTGGGCGGTTGTCGCCAGACTTGAGATACACGGTCTTCTCCGAGTGCACCTGCGGCACTGTGTTCACCACGGTCTTGGGTTTGCACGACGCGGGGCTGGGCGCGGGGCTGGGCGGCGGGGCCACGGCCCCCAGTGTGGGGCCCAGCACCGCCGGCGTCTGGGCTGGGGGGCCTGGGGTGGGCTCCGTTGACACTCTGAGGGGGGTCCTGTCCCCTTCGGCGTGGGTGGTCGGCGCGGTGGAAGCCGCGGGGGTCCGCGGGAGCACCCTGACCTCCAGAGCGTGCCTGGCCGCCACCTGCAGCACCGTCCTGTTCCGGAGCCTCTCCTCCGACAGGCACCGGTACACCCCGCTGTCTCCCTCCGACAGGTTGAAGACCAGCAAGTCCTTCCTGCCCACCAGGCCGTACTTGGGGCCCTCGGCCTTGAGCTCGTTGTTCTGGAACGTCCACACCACCCGGGCCAGGTTGGACTTTGGGGAGCATTTCAGTTCTGCCGTGCCGCCGTGCTTGAAAAAATGCTGCCGCAAAGTTCCTTTAGTCTTATCTGGAACATCAAAATAAACGTGCACAGTGTCAACAACCCGCTCGCCGCCTCCCTCCTTTTACAAACAGGTTAACACGCACAAGAACACAAGCTTTTCACCCACTGGAGCATCACGGAATCTTCCAGGACGACTAAGGAGATAAAGACATGCGTGACAAAACGGCAGCGACGAGCCCCAATGGCAGCCCAGTGGGACACGGCACCCGGAGGCCACCGGGCGGCCGGGATGACGTCTGGAGCCCTTGGCTTCCTGGGAGGCCGAGTGGCCGCACCTGAAGTCGCACACCACACGCATCTGCTGGTGGCTGCAGGGCTCGCGGCCTCCTGGTGTGCCCGGTGCCCCTTCCTGAAGCCGCCCCAGCTGATGACAGCCATTGGGTCAGGGACAGGAGCACGACTGCCTTCCAGAGGACACAGGGATGAGCCTGACCCGGCGGTGGCCTTGCAGAGGGGCTGAGGACTCCGCTCTCGCCTCCCTCCCTTCCACTGCCGGGTTGTCTGGGCCGTCGAAGCAGCCCCAAGCTACGTGGAGGAGAGCAGCGTCTCGAGAGCTGACGTCCTGGGTTGGACAACACGTGCCCTTCCAGGAAAAGACCCGCTATGCGGCTTCAAACACCCTTTTCTGCAAGTCAAAGGGAAGGCGGGCCGGCCCCAGTATCCTCATGGATACTCGCCCTCCGTTCTGGGGACAGAAGGGGAAACACAAGGTACAAGATGGCCCAGCAGCCAGCGCTGCGGCCCGATGATGCCCGGTGCCTGGGAGCAGCGCAGCGACAGGGATCCACTTACTCGGGCAGCCAGATGTGTCCCCGCTCATGTGCTGGAGCAGATCCCTGCAACACAAGCGGGCACAGTCACATGTGGGCACGCGTGCAGTCGGTCGCGCGCGCCTGCCCCACCGGCGGGTGAGCGGCTTGCCGCGTCCCCTGGTACCTGCCGCGGCGGTCCGGCGGGTGCAGGGCCACGCAGGCCTGGCCGGCCGGGCTCCAGGCGCAGTACGGGTCGCGGGCCAGCACGCAGTCCTCGCAGGTGGCGTGCTTCTCGCAGAAGGCCACGGGGGCCTGCACCACGCCCGAGCTGGAGCCCGCGTAGATGAACTTGCTGCCCTGCGGGGGGAGACGGGGCAGGCATGTGAGGGGCGGCCGTCGCGGACGCGGCACCGGGCTCTTCCGGCGCATGTGTGTGTGCGTCTGCTCATCGAGGAGCTTCCAGAACCACGAGCAGGCGGGCATCGTGGGGTCTCCCAGCCGCGCCCACGCACGGACTCCGCCCTCCGGGCCCCGCTCCCTCTCCCTCTCCCTCTCACCCAGGGACCTGCGTGGATGCGGGTCTCCCTCTGGGTGCACAGAGCCCTCCAGCTGCGCACTCCCAGCCCGACCACCCGTCAGAGATCAAACGGCACAACTCGGAGCCCCACGTCAGGCCTGCCCAGCCTGAGTAGCCGTGCGCAGACGGCTTGAGCGGGTCCGAACCTGGCGGGGCCAGGAAAGGTGCCCAGTGGCAGGGGAGCGTGCGGGATCCCAGCATGTGGGACCAAGGACGCGCCAGGCGCTGTCATGTCCGGGTTTGCGAGGGAGGAGCGCGCGGACGGGGAGGCCAGCAGACCGTGCGGCGGAGAGCCCGGCTCAGGGCAGGGCGGACCGCTCTCCGTGCAGCGGGGATGGGGCTCCCGCACGGGGAGGCCGCGCGACAGGCAGCCACGGCCGCAGGACTACAGCTCCGCGCCTGTGTCTACACTCTCCTACCCGCGACCCCCACCCACCGCCCCATCTTTTGGTTAACCCTGAGATTTGCGAGCTTAACAGAATTCAGTCTTGGACCCAGATGGGGTCTTCCCCTGGGGAGACCGAGTCTGGCTGGTGCTCCTGTTCCTGAGGCCAGCCTCAGTTTCCTAGCCTGTGACCCCTCCCCACCCCCCCGCTCTGCACAGGCACAGCTGAAAGGAGGTCCCCTCTGCAGCCGACTGTCCTGTGATAACAAGCCGCAGGCCCAGGGCCAGCCCCTCCCTATTAGCAGGGACTGGGCAAATGAAGCCACACACCTGCCGGGAGGACCGAGGATGCCACACTAGATCACGGTCCAGGAATCACGTGGTTCACAGAGCTGAGGGCTTCCGGGAGGGCCGAGCGGGCGACTTTGAGGGACCCTGGGGGCTGTGGGCTCCCATCTCCGCATACATCCCCTCCCTAGGGCTGGGCTCCCATAGAGCACAGCCACCAAGTACCCGATACTGAGAGAAGGGGCAGGAAAACACCTGCTGAGGCTGCGATCACCGGCAGGTGCACAAGTCTGGGGCCGGAGGAACAACACAGCAGCCTTGAGGTCTCCCCACAAGCAAGCGTCAGGCACCACAGGCTGAACATACGCCCACGCGCCCCAGCCAGCAGGGTCCCAGACCCTCAGCCCCATCCAAGCACGAGGAGACCGCAGCGTTCCGCAGAACGCGACCAGTTCTCTGTAGTTAACCGTGCCACCAAGACAAAGACCGATGGGGACTGGCCCCGGCCACAGGGGCTGAGGAGTGAGGCGTCCCAGGCCAAGCGAGGCTCCGGAAGTGGAGCAGATGATTGTTCGGACTGGGGTTGGGGGGACGACCAGACGTCTGGGGTCCTGTGGGCACTGTGCCCGCAGAGCCCCTCCACACGGAAAGAAGGCCCAGGGTCCCCACCCCTCATCCCAACGCCTCTGTGGACCTCACACTACTGCATAATGAAAGGTGTTTAAAAGGATAGAAAAACCACCTGACCAGGCGTGAGGTCTGGTGTGTGCGCTTGTGCCCTGGCCCTCACGGGTCCCCATGGCCCTGGGAGTCCAGGGCTCAGGCCCTCCCAGCTAAGTCACCGTGTAGACAGCCTCGTCCGACCTGGGGTGGGGTCTGGAGCTGAAGGAGGTCTGCAAAAGGCGCCCCCACAACACGCGGATGCATCCTGCCACCTGGCTCGGCGGGGACCAGACAGCACGTCTGCCACCTATTTCCACATGACCCGAAAGCAGGACTCCGATGTCCGTGCACCCCGCTCAGGGCAGCCCAGGCTGGAAGCGGCCTGCGCGCCCGCCCACAGATGGCGGGGACCCAGGATGTGCGTGTGCGAACTGCGGAGTGTTCCTCCTGGAAGAGGAAGGAAGTCCTGTCACACGCTACGCAGCTGACCCTCGAGGACATGTGCTCAGTGAGATAAGCCAGTCACAGGACAACAAATACTGATCCCACTTACGTGTGGTCCCCGGGGTCCTCAAATCCCAGAGACAGAACGTGAATGGTGGGTGCCAGGGGCTGGGTTAGTGCTCAGTGGGGAAAGGGTTTCCGTTTGGGAAGCTGAGAAGGTTCTGGAAATGGTAATGCTGCTGAGCTGTGCACGTGTGAATGGTCGAAACGGTAACTGATCCACACGTGTTCACATCAATAAACCACGAAAGGATGTGTGTGTCCTCGGGCAGCATGGCCCAGCCTCTCTCTGTTCCCACAGTGGTGGCCGCCCGCCAGCTTCCTACTGCCAAGACCCGCGTGACTGCCCGCGAGCCTAAACTCGGCTGGCGGGGGAGGGGGTGTCTTTCGCCCTGACCTCCTCTTCCTGCTGCCCTGGCTGCACACCCACCATTCCAAGCCCCCCGAGCCCGCCCACCCTGGGAGAAGGCGTGCGGGTCCGGGCACGCACGCTGCCTTCCCGCTGGTCTAGGCGGCCCAGTGCAGGGGCCCCCGTGGGGACAGACACATGGCCCCCAACGGCTCCCTGTGTGGCCTGCCCCCTGGGCACGGGCACATGACCAAGTCGTGGCCACAGGCAGGTGAGCACGTGCTGAGCCATAACCTCCTTCCCCACCCCTCATCCCTCCCACGGGATGACTGTCCTCGCGCCCAGAAGCCCGAGTGTCTGCACGCCACTGCAGAGGAGCCGTGGTCTCCCCGCACCTGACCCGGGGGGCCCAGCCTTTGCTCTGACGCTTCGGACAACCCGGAGGCCTCAGGGTCCGGACCGCTGCCTATGAGCAACACGCCTGGGGCGGGCCGTAGGGCCGCCTGCTTCCTGTTTCCACAGCAAAGCCGGGGGTGGGGTGGGGGCAGGGGAGGCACCTGCTGCTGGAAGCTCGCCTAGACTGTAGGGTCGTCTACCCCTCAGACGCTGAGACAGAAGGCACAGACAGCAGCGGCTGGGAGGGGACAGGACCCTGTGATGGGAGTCTGGACACCAGATCCAAGGACGTTAAGCTCACCATGAGGGGACCCGTGGGTGCCCGAGAAGTCGGCTGCTTCCCTCGTCTCCTGCCTGGGGCTAGGCCCCTTGCTTCCTGCTGTCCCCACCGGAGCGCAGGCTACGGGGACACGCAGAGGGGCTGTCGGACCCCCTCCTGCAGTGGGACGCTCTGTCCGCACCCAGCGAGGAGGCTCAGGAGCATTCTGGGTCGAACTGGGAGGCCCCAGCAGGTGAGCAACGCCCTCTAAAGCAGGCCCCGCGGAGCAGGCTGCACACATGGGGCCAGGCCGAGCCCAGCTCTGCGGCTAATGGAACAGGCACGCGGCCGGCCCCTCAGGCTCGGGCTCACAGCACGGGGACGCCCGCACGGAGAAGTGAGGCCTTTGGCCGTGGGGCTGGGCCACTCACAGGGTCTGCTGTCCCCCAGGTACACGAAGACACTAAGGCAGGACTGGCCTGCTGGGCTCATGTGCTCACGGTCCTGGACCAGGCCTGCTCTGCCCCTCCTGCGCCCCCCACCCCCGTGGGAAAGAGGGAGGCCTGTGTCCCAGGCCTGGGGACAGATGGCAGCGGGCAGCCTGCGGAGCCAATCCAGCCCCTTGGCTATTTCTGTGCTACCCCCCAGCTCATACCAGATTTCACACTCTTAATGGAAGAGAAAAGAAGTCAAAAGCATGCTATTCTGTGACCCTCGGAAGTTAGGTGAGCTCTGGAGCTTGGGGCCCGTAACGCAGGCACTGCCAGAGTGCGGCCAGCGCACGGACACTGCGGCCCCCAAAGCCTCAGACACCCACTCCTAGCTTCTGCGGGAGGGCCGAACCAGACCCCGACCCTGACCCCGACCTGACGCAGAAGGGGCCGTGTGGGCATCACGCCACGGCTCAGAGCCGGCTCTCCTGCACCGATAGCTCACCTGCCGGCAGGCGCTGACCCTGTCAAGCTCGGGGCGCAGGAGTGTTCCCCTGAGCCAGCATGTCCCCATGCCCGCACTGGGGACCCCAGGGACACGGTGAGGCTCCGCCAACCCGAGGCGACCATCCCATCACTCAGTTCGCCTTCCATCCATCCCAAAGCCCAGGGTTCCCAGGACCTTCTGTAAGAGCCTGGAGGTCAGGCCCTCTGGACCAGACAGGTGAGTGCCGGCCCGGCCTGGCTGGTGACACGGACGTGTGGGGCCGCCCACCCAGCCACTCTACCTTCTGAGAATTCAGCAGCAGCGTCTGCACCGGCTCGAGGTCCTGGAAGAGCCGTGTCTCCTCGATGATGTGGGCCTCGTTCTCCAGGCTGACGGCTTTGTGCAGGGTGCCCTGGTCTGCAAGGGCAAAGCTAGAGGTCAGAGACGTGCCTGGGAGGGCAGGACAGAGCCAGCCCTGCCATCGGCCATGGAGCAAATGGTCCCTGTTCTAACTCTCAACTCTCTGCCTCGATGGGACATGTAGAAACCAGTGCTCTTTGCACTCTGGAAGTGGGAAAGGAAAAACCAGTAGCTAATGCACCTCGGCCTCGTGAGCCTGGGTCAGCCTCAGGGTTTTCTGAAAAACCATCGCTGACTCCAGTGGACGTCAGTGCAGTGAGATGGTGCCGGCAGGTAGGAGCAGCGGTAGCTCCCAGGCTCCACTGGGCCCTCTTAGGTGCCATCTCTTGCGGGGCCCCAGGCAGGCGAGGGTAGGACCCCCCCAACCTGGCTCAGAGCATGCTGGAAAGCCCCCAGGGCTGTTTGTGGGGCCCGCCAGCTGCCACTGGGCCCGGCCACTAGTCCTCTCCCTGAATGGGCTCTCACGGCAGGTCGGGACAGGCTCAGCTGACCCCAAGGGCAGCATTTGGACTCCCTTTGTGCGAGCCTCAACCTACCACACCTGAACCCCGACAGGGACCAGGACTTGCGTGGTCGCAGACCTCAGACGCCAGTGCCGGAGACTCTTTGGTAAAGCGCTGTGAACACCGAGGGCACTGTGGGGAGGTGTGCGGCCCCCACAGCGAGGATGAGCCGGATCTGCTGGGGTCCTGACCCTGGGGGCGGGACCCACCTGTGCCCACAAACATGACGTCGTAGGGGGTCCCATCCAGAGCCCAGGTCCGGTCCACCACGAGCTGTGTGTAGTTCACGTCGTTTCGGATGAGCCTGGGCCTGTTGTCTATCGGGGTCACGGAGCTGTCCATCAGGGGGTGGTCCTTGACGAACTGCAGGGTCTTGTCCGGCAGGCTGAGGGAGCTGGAGAAGTTGGCCGCCCGCGCCTCGCGGTTGATGCACTGCAGGGAGGAGAGCGGCTGGTCCGCGGCACACACTGCCCCGCGGGGCTTAAACACGCGCCCGCGGGCTCCTTGCCCCAGCGGACGGACAGGCGGCCTTCCCCTAGCAGTCGGAAGGCACATCTACCGCTGGTGGGAAAGGCCGCCAGCCGCGATTCTGCTGGCGACACACAACTGTGAGTCATCTGTCCCTGTTCGTAAATCAGAAATGCATCACGCTCCTGACACCCAAAAAAGTACTGAACCCAGCCCAGTTGCAAGCGCACGACGGTCAGCGCGGGCGGGACTCCTCTGTCCCTGGCTCTCCACGGGTCTTGCAGCCCGTGTGAGGGTCTGACCGAGGTCGGGGGACAGCCCGGAGGGAGGAGGAGGAGGAGGCGGGAACCCGTGGGGCGGGGCGGGGCGGGCGGGGGCGGTCCAACCGGCCCAGCAGCCGCACCGGCTTCTACACAGATTCACCAATTTTAGGAAAAAAACAAAACCAAAAACATGACTCCTGCTCACGGGTAGGGAGCATAGGTCCTTGACAAACACTGCGTTTCTGTGCGGGAAGCACGAGATCAAACAGACCGACTTCCGGGGCTCAGAAGGGGCGCCTGCTCGCCGGCCCCCCTGCGGCCCCGCCCCACCCTGCTTGGGCCCGCCCACTCCCGCCCCGCCCCCCGGCCCCACCCCACTCACCGCCCCGGGCCTGGGCGTGGGCACCGCGCCGTTGTAGCGCACCCACTTGGTGTGGGACTGCTCCACCGTGGTGCTCTGCATGTACTTCCCGCGCAAGAAGACCTCCTCGGCGGTGGACAGGTTGTAGGCGCACACGGCCGACAGCCCCACGTTGTTCCTGGGGAGCAGGGGACGGCGTGACCATGCGGGCGGTGGGCCCGTCGACGGCGCCCCCCGGCCCGGGCCGGCGCACTCACAGCTGCGGGGTGAAGACCCCGTAGATGACCGGCTCCTTCAGGCCCTCCGCCCGGAGCACGAAGACGTCCTGCAGCACGTTGAAGACGAGGTTGCTGTCCGGCCGCGAGCAGATCAGCCGGGCCTTCAGGAAGGACGTCCACTTCTTCTGCAAGGTCCGCAGGCCGCCCTGGTCCCCCTGAAACCAGAAGGACGTGCGCGGTGGGGAAGGGCAGCTCCGCCCGGAGGGACCGAGGCCGCGCTGACCCCGGGCCGCAAACGCCGGCGGCCACCGCGTCGTCCTCTTCCATCCAAGCACGAAACCCAGAGAGGCCTGTCGGCAGTGGCCTTGCCTCAGCCGGACCCATAGGTGGTCCCCACGCACGCGCCTCACAGCGGCAGATGCCCCGCCGGCCTCGCACTGCGGGCCAGGGGCTCCCATGGGCCTCCGTCCTCCTTGCACAGGACCAGGTCATCTCAAAGGGCTTTGCGGGATCTTCCATAAACACGTTTTAGTGAGCTGGCCCCAGGGGACGACGTGGACACGCTTGACATGACCTGCTTGGGAGACTGCCCTGAAACACAGCAATCTGGACGCTGGAGACTGCGGAGCGGAGCGTACTTACGTCGGACGTGAGAAACCGCCCCCGACTGCATGTTGGAACGCCGAAATCCCAGTTCCCACAGGCTCAAGCTCACACAGTGAACGAAAACCAACTTCCTATAACCTGGGACGTCTGGGGACGGTGTGTCAGACGCAGGCCTGCTGACACTCCTGGGGTCTGCAGGGGGACCCCCCCAGGCTTCCCCAGGGCAGGCTGAGCATGTGGCAGCCCGTCCACACCCATCTGCGGCACGAAGGCAAGGTGGTGGGCAAACCGACATTCCAAAGGAAGCTTCGAGCCTGGCCAGGCGGTGAGGCCTCCAGACACGGGAGCGCCCTGGGGTGGGGGAGCCAGCGGGGGCACAGGGCCTGGGCTCACCTTGCACACCCGCGCCACCCGCGGGATCATCAGCTTGAACACAAACTCGTACTCCACGGACACCTCGGTGAAGAAGAAGTAGACGCGGTCATCCCCGCTGTCCATGCCGTCTGGACGCTCTCGCATCACGTCAGCGAAGACAAAGCTCGGTTCTGCAAGCGACAGACATGGGGTCGCCCCTCTGCTCAGCCGGGCTGGGCACCACCCCCAAGCGACGCAGGAGGGGGCGTGTGCCGTGTCCCTCCCGCGGGGCCTGTGAGAACGGACAGCATCCCAGCCCTGGAGACCCACAGAGGACGGTGCTCAGACCCCCCGCCGGCAGATCCAGGTGCCTAGCACCCCCCGCCCACAACAGCGGAGCAGCCCGCGGTCCCGGCTCCCCCAGACTCCCTGCGTCCAGGAGCCCAGGGGACTTAAAGCCCACAGCCCGCTGGCCAGTGCCCACAGGAGCTGCGGGAACCCGATGGGCACACATTGTCCCAAGGGGAGTGGCCCGGTCAGCCCGGGTCAACAGGGACCATCAGGCCTTCACATCCTGAAGGATGGTGACTGCATCCATCTTCAGGGAGGGGAAGGTGGCCTCAAAGCAGCACGGGCTCCACGGGGAAGGACTGAGCTGGGAGTCCCAGCGGCTCCAGAAGCTCCCTGTGTGGGAGCCACCACGAGCCTGGGGGGAGGCAGGGAACCAAGCGCCCTCGGGGAGGCTCACAGCCACCCAGAAACCCTGTGGCAGGGGCACCTGCATCTCACCATTTAGCCACGGTATCGCATACTCCGTCCTCAGAGGGCTGTGGGATGAGTTTCGGGAGATGATGGGCTCACTTCCCAGAAAGTTGTAGGAGGTCCCGGAATACAGCTCCCCGTCTTGAGCGGCCCCAGACGAAAGAGGAAAGGGGGTCAGCGGCAGTGCTCCTGTCACAGCTGGGCTCGGGCACCCCGCCCCCCAGGGAGGGGACAGACCACAGCCCTGCTCCTGGGCGCATGAGGCTGCTGCTTCTGGAGCCTTCCCTTGCATCTCCAAGACCAGGACAATCGTGCGCTCCATGTGAAAGGTCCTTTTCGGGGGTTGGGGTGCTAACACCAGGTGACCCTGCCCCCGGGGAAGTGACAGACATAATGGTGGGCGCACGGGGCTCCTGGCCTGAGGCTGTGGCACCTCAGGGACCTCCCTCAACAGGGGCGTGCACGCCGTGAACTAGAGATGCGTGATTTGCATCTCATGAGCTGCCTAAAATAACCCCTCCTGTAAACTTGACTTGTGGCCCCGGGGGTGGCCAGTCACCCTTTTGCACGATGAGTTCAAACACTCACGTGGGGGTCTGCGGAGAGGCCCGGGTGCCTTCTGTGAGGACAGGGAACACAGAAGCAGACGGAGGGAGCCGCGCTAACCTGGGGGAAGGACTCACCAACCATGACGGACGTGTAGCTCTGTGCGGGGTCAAAGGGGCACCTGCCCTTGCCATCCTCGCTTCTCCCCAGAAATTTAAAGGACGTTAAATCCTGCAATCAGACAAGAAAGAGTGTCAGGAGACGTCGGGATTTCCGCGCTCGCAGCAGCTGCCTGCTGTGCCATGGCCCAGACGTGCTGTCGGGGGCGTGCGGGGGCGGGGGGGAGGAGCAGGTGCGCGGCCCTGCAGGTCCCAGGGCTAAACGCCGGTGCCTCGAGAGCCACGTGGGGTTGAGGAGCCGCAGTCCACTCGGCTGTGAGGTGCCGACGGCTCCGGGGTCACGGGGCAGACCCGGGGCAGGAGGCCAATGGTGAGTGACCGAAAGCCACGTGTGGGATTTCAGCATCGAAATAATGGCCATTCTGCACTCACACCAGGCAGGGGTGATCTCAGGCTTGGGCATCCCTTCTGGCCCAACCAGGGAGCCCAAAACCCCGAAGCGTAAAGAAGAGGAAAGCTTTGTACAGGGACACTGAAACCGAGTTTGATGACAGGTGACATGATGGGGAATGGCCCGCCCAAGGATGGCCTAGGTGCGTCCGTGCCTGCGCGCACCCCGGGAGGAACGTCAGAGACGAGAGGCATCCGTGGGGACGCACGACAGGGGAAGGACTTGTGAGCGGCTGGAACGGACAGGGGAAGGACTTGTGAGCGGCTGGAACGGCGGCGGGCGTCACCTCCCGCCCTCCAGCACGCCCGAGCTGAACACCACACCGTGCCGCAGAGGGTAGCTGTGCGGCCGGCTGCCCATCGGGGGCTGGGGGAGAACGGATGCGGGGTGCAGAGGGCTCATGGGCCTGGGGAGGCTGTGGGCCCGCCTTCAGTGGGCAGACTCCCCGTCAAGCCAGGGAGCACGAGCTGGGGTGCAAATGGTCCGCAGGTCTAGGGGAGGTCGGGGGGGCCGTGTGAACAAGGGATCGGCCCGGAGGAGAGCCGTCAATGGAAATGACTGCATCTTCCCGGGGGACGACAGGCTTGGCATTGGCCATGTACAGAAGTGTGGCTGTTCCTACGCCTCTGGGGGCCGCGGGTTGCAGGGCCGCACCCCCCCCCCCGCTCCCACCTGTGTGATCAGCCTGTCGGCGTCAATGTTTTTATTAAAAATGCTGGGAAAAACCATAGGTCTGGATTTCAGGGAAGCCGGACTCCCTTACCTAACAACGGACAGGCCCGTGGGGTCGGAGCCTACATCCCGGAGCCAGAAGCTCCAGACTGACCAGCGCGCAGCCAGCAGACCCCCGGGTGTGCAGACGTGTCTTAACACGACCTGGCACGCTGTCCCCTCGCACAGGAAGAGGCCCAGCCTCTCTGAGGACGGAGGTCCAGCCCTTAGCAGTCCGCTTCCACCACCACCAGTGTCTGTGGGCCCAGACCACCAGGTGACCAGGCCCCATGCCCCTGCCCCGGGGGTCTGTGCACACAGTCTCCACGCAAGTCCTTCACTGGCCCCTACTTTGTGCCATTGTTCATCTCGGACTCAGGTTGGAGACTCTTGTTTAAATTCTCATTGCTTTGGGGCTCCAACAAAGGACGCTCTCCATGGCAGTGCCCTTCCCTCCTGGCCGGTACTAAGTCAGGGACGGTCACTGGAGGACAGACCTGGCCATCCACATGTGCATTTAAAATACTTCTCTCCTCTCTCTGTGGTCGTTCTCCATAGCTCAGCTGTGCCTGAGTGAAAGGGGCTGCTGCCCTCCGCCCCGTGCTCCGTCCTTCCAGCTCCCGGTCAGCGAGGGGCCGGGGAGCCAGGGTGGGGGCCCTCGGCAAAGCCCCTCAGGCAGCATGAGGCAGGCCAGGGCCAGGAGGACTGCAGTGGGCTGGAGCAAGAGCCGCTCACACACCCAGGCTGTTGCCCCTGGAGGGCGTGTGGTCCAGCACCCTCGTCAGCAGGCCCTGTGTCCGCAGCAGACACCACGGGGCGAGGCCCCAGAGCAGAGTAGCCGCCGCACCCTCTCCCTCCAGCTCTGGAGGTCGGAGTGCCAGCTGGTTGGTGTGCGGTAAGGATCTGCTCCCCCCACCGCGTCCCATGGAGTGCAGAGAGGGCTCTGGAGGCTCACAGGCCCCCTCTCTGAACACCCTCACATCGGGGGATTAGGGCTTCCCAGGGGCTTTGGGGGACACTCATTCAGCCTGTAGCACAGGCGAGCCCACAACATGCCCGCCAGGAGCAGAGTCCTGACCCACCCATAAGACCAGCACGCAGGTCACAGCAGGCCTCCCCACAGGCACAGAACGTGCCAAGAAGGGCGCAGGAGGCCGGACCACGGCGTGCTGGTGCTGTGCGGGTCAACAACTCACTTTCCAGGGGGCCCCCCACTGCCAGCTCTGTGCCACCGGCCGCCGGTCCCGTGAGTCCCGCCCTGCCATGCCCTCGGGGCCAGTGGGCTCCCGCAGCTACCCGAGGCGCCCCCGCTGCTGGCCATCAGAAAAGCCTACTGCTCTGTGGAGCGGGGCGCCCCGCCGCTGCGCCAGGAGGGGCTGTGCAGGCTTACCAGGTGGTCGCAGGCCGGCTGGAACGCGTTGGTCCCACACACGTACAGGGCGCGGGGGCCGAGCGGCTGCAGCACGCGGATGTAGTTGAGGCATTCCGTCTGCGAGGGGCACACGCACGCGTCAGCCGCCCGCCGGCCCCGCTGCCACCCGACCTCAGGGCGCCACTGGCCATGACCGGCACCCCGCCACCACCCCCCGGCACCTCGGCTGGCCCCCATCTCACATGCTCGCTCGGCCCTGCCTGGGCGGTGGGGACGGTCCCAGACCCGGCCCCCTGGACAAACCCGTCTGCGGCGTCCCCAGGCCGGCCATCGGGGACCAGGACCCATCACTCCGTCACTGATTCACCTCTGCCAAGACGCCCACCACCGGAGAGACCCATTTACTCTCACTCGGCACGTGCCTGGTGCGGCCCGAATGGTGGGTGTGTGGCATCCCGCCTGCCGTCCCCATCCCTGGGGATCCCAGCCCGCTGCCCCAGTGCGCGGGGCCAGAAACAGCGTGTCTCTGGGGACAGGCTGGGTGAGGGAGGGGCCCGAGGCTGTGCCCACATGAGAAAACCTGATGCCATAGAACACGCTATTTTAGGCTGAAATGAACGTACTGGGATCCTATGTGCTATTGTCTGAAATTATCTCTGCTCAGGGAAGATTTTCTGGGTTTTTGTGTGTTTGCCCCCAGGATCATTTCTAACTGGTTGGCAGTAAGTCACCCTCCCCACAGAAGCCGGGAGAGACCGCTGTCCCCGAGCAGCCTCCACATCGGGCCGGGCGGGCGCTCAGCCTAACTCAGCTCTCGGACAACTCCCTGTGACACCAGCGATCACCACGCAAAGCCTGCATTTTCCCCATTTCCTAAAGCAACTTTGGATCTAGTGATTTCAGCAAAAAAATAGTGCAGCAATCTTCCCATCTGTAAAGATTTTGAAGTCAGCCAACCACTGAGATCTACCTTAACTCAGCTGCCCTGCCCAGCTACCGAGGAAGACAGAGGTCCTATGCTCAGAGACTCGGGCCCGGGCCCGGCCCCAGATGCGGGCAGGAGGCCCAGCCGGTGGTGGGGTAACCCGGAGCCTTGGGGGAGGCAGACCCTCGGGCCAGTGCACCGAGGTGCCCAGTATCTCTTGGGGAAGTGGCAGATTCTCAAGGGATGGTCCCTGCCCCAAATCCAGAAATCCTACGGCAACCCTTCCAGGCTGCTGGGGTGCTGCGGAGGTCTGAACCCTGCATTTCACACCTTTAGTCAACAGACACAGGAAACGATTTTCTCTGTCAAGTTTGAGACCATCTGAATCAACGCAACTAAGTTAACCTTAACCGAAGGGTTTCCCAAGTGCCCGCCCTGGGGGCTCCTGTGTTGAGAGACCCCGCCTCAGCATTTGGGCACAGAGGGGAACCCCAGGATGGGTCGCGGCCACGCCACCCAAGGGTCCTGAGACCAGAATTACCTGTCTTGACTTCCCCTTCTCAGCACATTTTGCTTTTTTATCTTCCGAGACCTTCCAGGAGGCCTGTTAGGAGAAAGGAGAGTCCATTCCAGCGCACAGGCCCCGTTCCAGAGGGGTGCGGCGCTAACATGCCGGTTTGCAGAGTGCGCTGCCACGTCGGCCTCTGATACTCCCCCGACAGCGGAAGTGACTGCACAGCCAGGCCTGGCCAGCAGACGCAAAACCGGGGTCCCGAGCGACCGGGGCTTCGAGGAAGTCCCCCCCGAGACCCTCCCCCAGAAGCCAGCGGTGCCTGGCTTCCCGGATTCTTGTTATTTGCTAAAAACAGCAGCAAATGTAAAGTGCTAACAGTGAGGTGTTTGATGGTTTATCAACTGGCTAAACCACAGGTGTTTTCAAGCAGCAAAGTGGGTTCCTGGGACGGTCTGTGGACAGCAGGACCCAGCTCCTTTCAGTCTTCTGTACCCACAGGCGTGGTGGTGAGAGAGCAGCTCCGTCCCCCACCCCCACCCGGCCTCCCACGACCTGTGCTCCTGCTCCCTTCACGCCCGGGGAGTGTGATGAGAACAGGGCAGCCCGCGGGGGCCTCACCCCCTGCCCTCGAGAGGACCGGCAGCCACAGGCCCACACCACAAATGGCTCCCCCATTCCTGCCTTGCCTTCCCCGGGGTGTTTGGTCTCCCCCTGTGACAACCCACGACGGACGCCCAGAGACTTGCAGCCACCCGGGCGGTGCTCAGCACTTAGGAAGAGCCCAGAGCTGCAGCAGCGAGTGAGTCCCCGTGCCCGTGGTCCCACGCTAAGTGTCCCGCACGAACGCGCCTCCCAGAAGGCCCGGCCAGCACACGCGTCAGAGCAGTGCGTTTCCAGGGAGACAGAGGTTGTCATCAGAACACGTGAAAGCAGAACCAAGTCCCGCGGCCGATGGCGGCATCCCTCAGAAGGTAAACTGCCAATGATTTTGTCGATATAAAATGCTAAAGGACACGGGAGCACGAATGCGGATGGGCCCCGGCCGTGCTCGCCGGACCCCAAAGGGACACAGGACGCAGTGAGAGAGAGCAAGAAACCAACCCCAAGTGCTGGGCTCGTGTGTGAGGACCCAGCGGTCAAGGACAAGCTGCCACTGGCTGCGAAGGGACAGTCTGAGCTCTGGGCAGGGCTCAGGTGTCAAGGAAAGGAGCCACATTCCACACGCTCAGAAGCGTCTCTCCAAAGCCGTTCTGCAGATCCAAATGGCACAAACGCCGCTACCTCCCTTCAGAGAGAAGGAGCTCATCAAAAACAGGCTAGCGGAGGCCACCACTTCAGGTGCTGATCCAACTATTTCCACAGGAACTGGCCCCAGGGAAGGTGACCCCATTGTGGACGCCTTCCTGCTCCCACGTGGAGGAGAGGCCAAGCCGGGAAGTCCTGGGACACAGCTCTGAGATGCACCGAGGGCCACAGCAGGGGCCTGCCCGTCACCAAGGACGTGGGAGCGGTGGCTCTCCCAGAGACAGGCCAGGGCAACAGTGGGACGTGGACACTTGCTGGGCAGAGTGGCCAGCCCCACAGACGGTCCAATTTCAACTGCATTCAAATGTCATTTATGACTGTGGAATCTGAACACTAGTGATTTGATGACATTTTTTGGATGTGATTGTGGTATTTTGCTAATTCTGACAAAAAGGAGTCCTTCCCTTTAGGGAGGGGACACCTCAGGAACCCCTTGTGGATGAAAAGTGTGTCTGGGAATTTGCTTCGAGTAGAGGGAGCACAGCACCGGGACGTGGGTGGAGGAGGGGGACCCCGGAGCCAAGCGGGACAGGCCTCCTCAATCCCACTTCCTCTACTCCTGTGTGTGCCAGAGATTTTCCATAATGAAAAGGTAAAAAGTCCAAGAGGGCAGGACAGAGGCCCCTGGGTGAGTGGCTGGCCCAGGGAGGACAGAGGCTGTTGGGAGGCAGGGTGAAGAGGCGGCTTCACGGGGACGGGCCCCTTGCTGGCTGGAGGGCAGGAGGCTGCGTGGCCAGGAAAGGGCCTGACGCCCCAGGAGAGGCCCAGGGTAGAGTCAGGGAGAAAACGGTGGGCAGGTCTGCGGCCACGCCCTACCTCATGCTGCTTCTCGGAGACATTGTGCGCACTCAGGGCAAACACGGCTTCCCGGGCCCCCACGTACAGGGTGGTCTTATCCTCGCTCAGCAGCAACACCGAGTAGTTGAAGATGCCTGGCTCGTGAAACTTCTCCAGGTGCACCTCTGGGGAGGGAAGAGAACATCAGACATGCCCGAGCCTGGACACGGCGAGCATCCCGTCCCACTTTAACGCACCACCACGTTGCTGTGGCTGCACGTGGATCCACTCCCTAGAGGCGGCCCCTGCCCGAGGCCAGCACTCAGACCCACTAAGACAGTCACCAACACCATGCAACCCTGCAAGGCCCCGAGCCACTGTGCTTGACCAGTGCTGTGGCCCAGCGTCCCTTCCTGCTCCCTCCAGTGGGGTTCCAAACCCTGCACTCAGATGGCCTCCCAGGAGCGTGACCTCTGAGGACTCTGTCCTCTGAGAAGCATGACCTTCAAGCATGCGATCTCAGGCTGCTGACCGCTATGCTGTCCATACTCTCGTGTATGTATGTTTAATCTTAACACAGACTAAGTATGTGAGAATGTAAACTATTTAAGCTTTTCTTATTTAGGAAAAAATGTGATTTAACTCAAAATCTTAAAAAAATCCATTCCAGTAAATGTATCCCTTGACTCAAGCAGATCTTGGAATTAAGCACCACGAAGTTAGCAACAAGTGACGTTTCCTCTCTCGAGAGGGAATTGCATGGTCAAGCGGGATGAGAAGCGGGCGGACTGGCAGGGACAGAGGCGTGTCGGCGTTTCCCCAAGGGGCACTTGCTCCGGTCTGACTGTCCCGGCATCCACACGAGTGCTGTGAGCCTGCGGTTTTGTGGACCGCTGGTTTCACATAAGGACCAGGTGTCCACGCGCTCTGCTGTCTGGATTCTCCCGGGCTGGAGACAGCCACGCGGAGAAAGGCTGACCCGGCACACAGGGCCTGGGACAGCCCATGAGATGGCTCAGCCCCGCCAGCAGCCCTCGCTCCTCTCGCCGGGGAGGCCGGGGCTCTCAGGACGCAGATCCCAGGAGAGGAAATAGGCAGAGACTGTGGACAGCAAAGGAAAGCAGCTGGCCGGAAGCTTGGCCCCATTAGTCCTCAGACAAGCATCTGGAGTGGCTGTGCCCAGGGAGCGCACAGCACCTCTTCAGGCTGTCAGGGCCCCAGTTTCAGAAACCTAAGCGGCAGTCCCCGAACGCGCTGGACAACCGTCCCACGTGCCCCAGGTTCCTGCCCACCCGCAGGAGCAGGGCTGGCCCGTACCTCTGTGCTCCCAGGTGATCCGGGGCTTGGGTGCAAAGGCCACCGCCATCCCGAACACCATGGCCAGGGCAGCAAGCAGCCCCCCGACAGGGACACACATCCTCACACACTGCAGAGCGGGCTCGGGCAGCAAACGCTTGTGGGCCGGGGGGCTGCCGAGGGTGTCCCGGTGGACGCTGCTCAGGGCCTGGCGGCTGTGAGCCGTGGCACAGCCCGGAGCTGGTGGGCGCTGTAAACCTCGAGGACCAGCATTTCCCAGGCACCGGGCAAGGTCACCACCGCCAACGTTGAAGGTTGCCCGGATCTTAAGCGGTGCACTGCTTTTTGGCCTCACGAAGAAATTCTGGAAGTGAGAACAAAAGTCAGAGGTCAGGATGCCCGTAGTAACACAGCTTCTGTTCCCCGCTGTGCCCAGGGCTCTGTCCACGCCAGGGCGGGGGTGGTCGGGGCGCAGGCTCACGCTGACACTGCGACCCATTCACCAGGAGCGGAGCTCCAGGGCAGATGCCAGAACCCAGACCGGACGAGCACCCACCCAGCTCCCCGGCCTCCCCCGTGTGCAGATGTGGCACATGCCCCGCTGGTGACGTCATGCAAAGGTGCGAACCAGGCAACAGGTGCCCCCTCGGACCCTGGCTTCCCAGCTTTCGTAGCGCCCGCCAGGGAGGTCAGCTGGGCGAAGACCGGGAGCAACGCGTGGAGGCGGAGCCGTGTGCGCGCAGGCCCACTTCGCACGCACAGGAGCACACACGCACACGTGACCTTGCCGTGCGGGACAGCCGGCCTCCTGCCGCACACAGGCCCTGCCCCTCCAGCCACACCCGAGAAGTCCCCGTGCCACAGAAAGCACGGCTAGGGGCTCTCGGGGTCCCTGGGAAGCCATTCATTGGAGGGCAGGGGCTGTGGGCTGGGGGTGTGCTGGTGTCCCGGCCCCCACACCCTGCCCCACGTGCCGTCCCCAAGGTGCCCTGCGGTGGGGGGCAGGGCAGCCTTGCTGTGGACCACTGAGGCAGAGCAAACGCCGGAGCCTCTTGCCAGGACGCCAGTGGGACCGTGACCTGGATTCCTTCTGGCTTCTCAGGACGGGGAGGCAACCAGAAGCTACTGGAACAGAGGCAGGACCCCGTCCCTCCCAGACGTGCTGCCCCAAGAGGCCCCACAGGAGAGCCACTGGTACGCCCCACAGGGTTTCCTCTACAGTGAGACAGTGGAGCAGCCTGCCTCCCTCCCCCAGCGCGGGCCCTGCTCACTCTTCTCTTCCTTCCGTTCCACCAAGCCAGCCCCCCTGCAAGGCTCAGGCCAATGAGCCCGAGCTCCTCTCTGGAGCCTTCCCTTCACCCCCACCATCACCAGCACTCAGGGACGGCCAAGAGGCAGCCAGCGCCACACTGCCCTCAACAGTCCCCCTGCTCAGCCTCCCCAGGGCCCCCGCAAGCTACATGTACCAACTTGGGCTGCTTCCTGACACCACAGCCAAACCGAACCTTCCAAGAGGGTGTGAGGGGAAGTTCTCACTTCTGTTCACCTAGCCAAGCCACTAGCTCCAGGAAGCCCTCCTGGGCTGCCTCCTTATCCTTCCCAGAGGTCACCTCTCATGCCGCTGGAATCCTATCATGCGGCAGGGCTTGCCCTCGGTGTCACTGTGGACTTCGCCGGGTCTTCCCTGCATCTTTGTCTGTTTCTCATGCCTGTGCCCTGGGCGCCACTGCCCCACTCCACTTAGTAAAGGAAGGACTCGTGGGGGGCCTTGGGGGAGGACTGACAGTGGGCACAGCCAGGCCTCAGCTGCCCGCCCCCCTTTCTTGTTGGGGCGCTTCTCTGCCTTTCCCCTTCCTGCCAAAGATGTGCCGGCCAGGCCTGTCCTCACCCCGATGCCACTACGAGGCCATGAAGCCAGGGCAGGGCATGTGCTGTCTGCGGGGACGGGCTCGCCCTGCGTGGGGGCCAGCACACTGTCCCACCAATGGCCGGAGGACCATCCTTCTTAGGTTTGGGCTGTGTGGTCTCTGTCTCAGGTACTCCAGTCCCCGGGGTGGCGCAGAAGCAGCCCCAGACGTGTCATGGGACACACGTGGCCAGGCGCTGGTCTGCAAGCTGAAACCCAGTCTGGGGTTCACGGGAAGGGCCAGCCCCGACACCCCACAGCGAGGGTGGGACTGGACACTAAATCCAGAAGCAGATGGGCCACTCAGTGATGGAGGAACAGAGGGATAGAGAAAGGGAGGGATGGAGAGAACAGAGTGAGGGACAGGGAATAGGGATAGAGGGAGGGACAGGGAGGGACGGGGGAGGGAGGAGGGAGGGATGGAGGGGGACTGAGAGAGGGGGCATGGGGAGGGAAGGGGGAAGGAGGGACGGGGGAGCGAGGGACAGGGGGAATGGTGGATGGAGGGGGGACGGGAGGACTGGGGGACGGAGGTGGGAGGGGGACGGGGGATGGAGGGGGACGGGGGATGGAGGGGGACGGGGGATGGAGAGGGACGGGGGACAAGGGATGGGGGACGGGGGGATAGGGGGATGGGGGATGGGAGGATGGAGGGGGGAGGAGTGGGAGGAGGGGGGAGGGATACGGGAGGACGGAGTGGGGAGAGACGGGGAGGGATGGGGGGACAGAGGGAGGGACGGATGGAGGGACAGGGGGATGGTGGGAGGGTGGAGGGAGGGACAGAGGGAGGGACAGGTGAGGGACACGCACCTGCCACAGCTGCCCCTCCTTCTTGCCTGCCCCCCAGGCTGACCCCTGGTCCATCTTTGTTCTCTCGGCTACCCCCAGGCTGACTGCCCCCCACGCCCATCCCTGTTCCCCGGTGGGCCCACAGCCCCCTGGCTGCCCTTGTCACCAGACTGACCTCCTACTCCACAGCCCCACCTCCCTCGCCTGCCCCCAGGCCGGCTTCTGCCCCTGGGCTCCCTCCCCGACGCTGGCTGTGGGGTGGATATCACCTTGCCAAACAGCCCCTTCCCGCTCAGGACGGCTTCAGGAGCTCCCAGTGTCACGCGTCACGTGCCTGATAAACAGTTCACTGTGTGGACTTCGATTCCCCCAGAACTCAGAACGGTCCCCTGGAGTGATGCCTCAGCTCCACCGTGATTCGTGTGCTCAGCTCTGGAGATGGACAGCGGGACAGGGGGACAGTGGCCAGGTCACCTGCTTACCCTCCACCACCTCGCAGAGACAACCAAGCCATCAGGGGGTGGGGGGATCCCGACATGCCTCAACCTCATTCCCACACCTGAACGTAGGCACGTGTGTGCCACGCGTGCGCTGACGGGACCCAGGATGCGGATAGCAGCGGGGGGATGCCGTCAGACAACCAGCCTGATGACCGGCGGGTGCGTGGGGCAGCAGCGAGGGGCCAGCCGTGCTGCCCCAGCAGGGAGGCCCAAGGAGAGAGGAGTCAGAGTGCCTGTGCGGCATCACCAGACATGCATGTGGCCATAGACAACGCTGTCTCCTTCTGGGGAGGAGGGCTGTGCGCACCTGCACATGCCCTGACCCTGCGTAGCGCCAGCCGGGCACTTCCAGGGCAACCACTACACTGTCCAGGCTGGATCTGGCTCCTGGGGGACAGCGGGGCTGGCCTGGCCCGTCATCACGGGGAGCTCAGCTGCCGACGCAGGACACCCAGGCGGCCCCAGGAGACGGGCTCGTGAGCATAGCGCGAGCACCCCGACCACACGCCAGCGGCTACACGGTAGCAGGTGGGACGACCCACACTGTGTCCAGGGAGGGTGCCGCCCCCCCGGCCCCCACGGACACACACGTAAACATATGCGGATGCGCATCCAGCTGTGAACAGTGGTTACCGCTGGGGAGGGAGGCGACGGCCGGGGAGCGCGCTATTGGTGTCTGTCTTGTACACAGTGAGTCACACATTTACACCGCTGTGTGCAAGACTGACAGCCCCCGCCCCACCGAACCAAGTCCCTGCGCACACGCTCCATCCAGTCCGGCCGGGTGCAGAGCGGCGCGTCCCAAAGTCGTCCGTGCGCCGGCCCCTCCCCCAGGGCCGCCGGGCGTCCATGACCTGTCTGTCCCATCTGCACGTACATGAAGAAGGGACGGGGCCTCGTCTGCTCTCTAGGCTGCGTGCCTGTTAGCAGGAGCAGGTAGGAGGAGGGCCCGTCCCCGGGGCATTACCTCAGGGGCCTCCAAGCTGCTCACCCAGCCTCAGTGCACGGACCTGGTCATCCCTCCCAACTCCCCCAAGATCCCCAACGATTTTTTTTGTTTTACATAAGATCAACAAACAAAACCAAAGATCAATGACCCGAGGGGAAAATACTGGTAACCCAAGTGTCAGGGCTTGGAATTCCTAATCTGTGCGTCACCCACACCAGCCAGAAGCCCGGCCCAACGGGGCAGGGAACTGAAAGCACACGCGTGTGAGCCCACGCGTAAACACGGACAGTGCTAAGGGCCCTAGAGGTAGAGCTGCATTTGCTAACACGGCCCCAGCAAGCCAGCCAGGCAGGTCCCGGGGCCGGCACCGATGCCAGCACAGCACGGCGGATGCGGAGGCCAGTGGGGCTGCTGGAGGCCGGCCAGAGCCACATCCGTGCAGGACAGGAATGACTACAAAGAGAAGTGGGGCGCGGGGCTTTCCTTCTGCTTTGACATGAAACGGACATTTCTCTTTCTTTTTAAACTGGAACTACATGGTCGACATGAAGATTCATCACAAAAGGGCCCCAATCCAGAGCCAGGGTGACACAGAGACCCCTCCCTGCACGTCGGGCCCCACTGACAAGCCCTTGGCACCCCAGGAGAAGCTGGAGCTTTGCAGGGCCCCCAGGGGCTGGAGGCCCAGAGACCCGGAACAGAAACACAGGGCGGGTAGGGCAGGGGTGGGACGGGGAGAGGCAGGCTGTGCGCGGGACTCCAGGCGCCCAGCATGGACAGATGCCTGCATGGCAGCAGCCGCGTCCCGACCCCGGCCCCGTGGAGCACACAGGGAGCTGGGACCAACCGTGTGCTGGACCCCACTGAGGCTTCTACAAGGCGTCGGCGTTGCTAGGCTGGGACGCGCGTGGAGAAACCATGTTTTTACCTGTATCTTGTGCCTCCAGAAACGTCCCTCAGTCGTTTCCAGGACGGAGTCTTCAGAAATCTGGGCTCTGAAAGTAATAGGAGACTATTTCAACATGTAAGTCCTCCATCCATGTACCCACAGCATCATGAGTAGAGATACACTGAAAAGAAACTCTTGCATTTTTTTTTTAACCTCCAGACCCCAGGATGGGTGTGGCATTCATGCACTTGTGCAAACGGGAGGGAGGAGAGAGTGTGCAATCGCACCCATAAAGGAAGTGTAACCTGGTGGGTCCCCAACTGACCAGTCACTTCCCTGCAAAGTAAGCCCGCCAATACGCCCCATGGTCATGGTTCACTATTTGCCAAAAGAGAATCAGGCCATTAGTTTCAGATCTGTATCCTTGAGAACTTATCCTCCCCGAAATCCAACAGTCGGGGGCGCCCCCAAAAGGGAAGCCTGAGTCCAGAGGGACGACAGACGATCAAAGAGAACGGGAGTGACCGTCCCAGCAGGCACCGTGCAGGTGCGCAAAGGTGTCGAGGGCATGGGTGCCGGTCCCCTCGCGGTTGTGAGTGATCCGCCAGTTTCTAAACCTCAGAATCAAACACTAGCAGTTTTTGGTGGTTGGGATATAGTTTTGTTTTCTTTTGCTTTAAGAGCTGGTACACCTCGTGCCATTTTCTGGAAGACTGCTGAGAAGTAGGAGGTGCTCGCTGGAAGCAGGGCCAACACTCCGTCTCTCCCACACGGCACCCCCGGAGTGGGACCCGTCACGCCCGCAGCACAGAGACGGCTGGCACCCCACCCCATACCTAGGACTCCCAGAGTCATGACTCCCAGGGTCTCCCAGAGCCCCTTGGGGCCCAAGACATGTCCCAGGAACTGGAGCAAACGTGACCCCTGAGCGCCGGTGGAAATGGTTTTGGATTCCTCCATCTCAGGGTCTGATTCTGGGTCAGCTACTGCTGACAGCGCCCTTGTAATACCTTCACACGCCAGCACGCCAGGGAGCGCTGCCCCAACGAGGCCGCGCCCTCCCAGCACCCAGGACCCACGTCTTCTGTTTGAACGCTGGGGGAGGCATTGCCACGACCGATGGACAGCGACGGGCAAGTGTGACCAACCGTGGGGCTTACCTGTTCGCACGGGCAGGCCACCTGTGCGCCCCCCAAACACGGGGGAAGAAAGTGACGCGTGCGTCGCAAGAGAAGTGCACAAAACAACCCGAATGCCAAGAAATCTGACACTGAAAACCTTCTCTCTTCTGGAAGTTCAGTTAGGCCTTTGTCACGTCCCTAAATACAAGCCCAGAGCTGCTTGCTCTGTGGTCAGACAAGGCGTGTCTCGCGTTCCCCCGAATTTCACGGCGCTGAGCACCGAGGGCAGGCTGTGTGTCTGTGAGCCCCTCTCACCCCGCCTCACCTCTGCCCTCCGCCAAACAGCTCCAAGCCCCACAGTTCCGGACTAAAAAAAAAAAAAAAAAGACACTTCCGGCCCCGCTGACAGCCGCGTTCTGGGCCCCAGCTCTCTACACCTGTCTACACTTGTTTCTCGACAGAGAACCCCCGCGCTGTAGTTCGGTACGGCCACAGCGGAGGGCAGGGGACGTCCTCACACAATTGCTCAGCACCTGCCGAGCTCCGCGCTCCCTTCACTGTGCCTTTCTTCTCAGATCGCGCAGGAAAGAATCCAACAGCCCTTTGGTGAAACTAATCGGAGAGAGAAGCGTTTCCCTCTCCCTCTGACGGCTCGGCCTTGCCACCCCTCCACTCCCCACGGTGCAGGTGAGCCTGGGAGCTGCAGCCACGCCAAAGGCAGTGGTCCCGTGGCCGCTCTGACCACAGCAGAGAGCGAAGGCCAGGCTCGTCCTGCACGCGTCCGGTCTCTGTTCTGCAGATGTGACCTCACCTCCCAAAAGCCCCTGACCCTGACCGCGGGTTTGCACATCAAAGAGGCTCCTCCCCACCGCTGAGAAGGGCAGCCATGAGGCCAGCTGCTATAAGGCGCAGTGACGAGGGGCCACAGGGCAGCACGGGCCCAGAATCCGGACCCAGTTCCCCACCAGGAATTCAGGTGCAGGCACCCCACCCATGTGAGGTGCCCAAGCAGGGGACCATTTGGACTCTGGAAATGGTGGACGACTGTGCTGCTGGGGAAAGAAGCACGAGGCGAACGGCTCCCTCATGCTCTCCTGGTGGGAGTGTGAACGCGTGTGGTCATGTGGAACACAGGACGCAGCTTCCTCAGAAAAATCAACAGAACTACTCCACCATCCAGCAATTCGACGGCTGGGTATCTACCCAATGAAAACAAAAACATGAATTTGAAAAGACACCTGTATCCGTATGCTCGTGGGCATTACTGACAATGGCGAAGACATGGAAGCAGCCCAAATGTCCTTTGATAGATGAATGGATAAAGAAGGTGTGGTGTGTGTACACGCGCGCACACACACACACACACACACACACACACAGAGAATGGAATATTATGCAGACATCAAAAAGAATGACATTTTGCAATTTGCAAGAACATGGAGGGACCTAGAAACTATCACACTAAGTCAGTCAGAGAGAGAGAAACACAGTTTACTTACACGGGTATCTAAAAAACAAAACAAATGAACAAACAAAAAACCCAGACTCTTAAATAGAGAGCAAACTGGGGTCACTGGGGGCAGGTGGTGGGAGAAGGGGGGAGATGGAGATTAAGAGGTACAAAATCCCAGTAATAACGGAAGGAAGTCTCAGGGATAGGAAGTAGGGCACAGGGAGCATCACCAGTAACCCTCACAATGCCACGTGGTGACAGATGGGGACACTTAACGGTGACGAGCACCGAGTAATACAGACTTGCCGAATCGCTACATTGTACGCTATTCACATATGGCTCCCAGTTTGAAGCTTACTAAATGATTCCATCAAAATACAAGTCTCCACGAACAGCAGACAGACTTCCCATCATTTCTGACTGTGCATTTGCTGGACCTCCATCTAAGGGACTCTGACACGGCACAGAGGTCCAGGGCCGTGAGTGCAGAGAAATCCCAGCTCAGTGCCCCAGGACAGGAGGGGCAGGCTTGCAGCCACAGAGACCAGGAAGTCCAGGAAGAAGCGGGGGTGTCCCTTGTGGGCTGGCCAGAGGGGAGGGCAGGACCTCTGAGTGAACTGTGGGTCTCCTTCATGGAGCTCACCCGTGGGCGCCACCCAGCGCTCCCAAGACTCCTCCAACGCTCCAATCCTATAATTCACAACTCTATAATTAAATAGAATAATACTGGACATTCATAACTTTGCCAATTTCTCACTTAAAATTCATTTTTAAAAAAGCAGGCTCCACACTCATCACAGAGCTGGAACGCACGACTCCGAGATCAAGAGTCCCACACTCTACCGACTGAGCCAACCAGGCACCCCTTAAAATTTATTTTTAAAGACTGATTTTAACTACCAGCAAACTCAACCCAGGAGCTCTTCTAACCAGAGCCTATCTGCAGAACGTATTTCCTTCTGGTCCCCACTGAAGTCTTCTGTTACTCGAGGCACACATTTTTGCAATGAAAGAGCTGATGTCCACTACCCTTCTTATACTTGTTTCCAGAACAGTCCATCACCCTGGGGCTGGAGCGGGCCACAGCTCAGCAGGCAGGGATGGGAACCACTCTCTGTGGAAGCGTCTGGCTCCACGGTGAATGGATGCTTCTCGAGGAGCTCAGGGCAGAGATAAGGGGCACCCCAGCCCCACAGCAGGCATCTCCTCCTCTCTGCCGTCAGCCAGGGCATGAAGGTGTCACAGAATTGTCTGGAACCGTGCCTACCCCGGGACTGGCTCGGGACTGTGCTCCAGGCCACCTGGGGCAGTGTCTTGCCTGCCAAGTGCCCTCAGGGGGACTGTGCACAGTCTCACCAGGGGACCCGACTCCTGCCCCTTGCACAGGCCCAGCCCAGCTGCAGAGCGACCAGCAACTCTCTCCACTCAGCCACAGTGGGAGGACGGGCCTTGGAGCCCTGACAAGCCCAGGTCTAGGCGGACAGTTCTTTTTTAAGTCTAAAAACCACAAAATGCCACTCTCTTTGCCTTCATCTTTAGTGACTCCTTAAAAATACACAGCAGGGTCCCAGAGCTAGGCCAGCTCGACCGCAGGCCGCCATCCAGCTCAAGTCTGCGAAGGCTGAGCCGGAACAAGGCCCTGTCCTTGCACCTGGCCTCCCTCCGGGACGTGGTCTCTGCTCTCCCCTTGGCAAAAACCCATGAGAGAAGCACGTGCGGTGGGCGAAAGCACTGTGAGGGCCCCGGGGCTGGCCCCCAGCGGGACATAGGGTCCATCACCATGCCCGGGTGGCCGCCATGCCAGCCTCTCTGCACAGCCACCTGCACACAGGCGTCTGCTCTGATTCTCTAGCTTCTATACCCCTTGAAGGGACCCCCGGAAACGCCCCCTCAGGCCCCACAGCCGCTGACAGAGTGCCTGGCAGCCAAGCTTCTCACGTTGAGCCTGGGCCCCTATGATCCGTGTTCTAACCGTGCCAGCCCACACTCCATCAACCATGGGCCTCGCGACTGCTGTGGGCAGGTAGGAGCTGGACAGCACCAGAGTCTCCATGGCTGCCAAGATGACCCCCGCCCAGTCCCCCGCACACGGCTTCTGCCCTGAATCTCAATCATCTCTACTTCCCAAACAACACGCAGAGGCACACCCCGGTGTCAGCACCGCCACAGCCTGACCTTTGAAGGGAGCACAAGGAGCCCCACGCTGGACCTGACTCACCCATCCCACTGACCCTCCCTTGTGGTCCTTCTCGTCTTCCAGATGCTTCCAGGAGCCAATGCTGCATGTGGGACGAGGGCCACATAAAACGGTGCAGGTTTGGCCTCGAGCAAACCCCACGCTCAGGGTGGTTGAAACAACTGGACCGGACCCAGCAACCACTCTCGTCCCTCCCAACGGCAAGTGGGTGTCTGGAGCGACCTCTGCTGAAGTCCCAGGTCAAGGGAAGCCCAGCCCCCGGATTCCAGGGGTCCACTCTGCAGCCTCCACACAGGAGAGGGGTCTACGCTCCGACCGCAGGCCAGGTTCGCTGG